GAGTTGGAAATTTCTTTCCCAAATGCTTATCTTCATCTCATAGTAAAGGGCCCAAGAGATAGGGAGGGAGTTCTGTCATTTATTCAAGGTTATGTAATCAGCAATGAAACCAGGCAGTTATTGCAAAACAGAGTACTAGAGAGATTACTTTGATTGGCTGGGTAAAAACAGACTGCAGCTGTAATCTTTATGTTCATCTGATCATACCAACATTTGATATGTTTATGAATCAACCATTTCTTATTTTCTAATATCATTTAATAGTTTTATGGCTTACTTTTCTAGTAATAACATTAGGGGATTGGCAACTTTATGAGAACTCGGCATTTTTCGAATTTTATTTTGTTATTTTTGCTTGCTGTATGTGTAGGGCTTGTGTGTAGGTATATGCCCTTGAGTGCATGTACCCATGACAGCCATAAGAGGGCGTCAGTTCTCCTGGAGCTCGAGTTACAGGAGGCTGTGAGCCTTTAATGTGGGCATTGAACTCTAGTCCTCTATTGGAACAATATGGGTTCTTAACCAGTAAGCCATCTCTTCAACGACAAGCACTAAGCTTTTGCTTTTGCATTTGTAGGTTAAGGTTCAAATAGAAACATGAAATTAAGATCTTTAATTGTATTTATAGAATGTGCCTTTTTATTGCAATGTGATTGCTGGGATTCATTTTTATTTGTTGTTGTTGTGATTGTGTGGTGAGTCCTTTGTCAGCTGAGTCTTCTCAGCCTTTGTTTAACCACAAAGCTAAACTTATTATGGTACACTTACCAAAAATTAAAGGCATAAAACCATTGACTTTTGACAAACAAACATTTGATTTTAAGAAAAATTTAAAGGATGTTATGTTGTATTCAGGAAGCTTTTAACTACTAGGCAGCTGATTGCCTAATATTTTTAGTGCACTGATTTGGGAATATGAAGCATAAAGTGCTGGGTGGGGATGGAAAACAGTCTAATGGCCCTAGTCCCTGTCACCACCATTCCCACTTGCCAGTTCCCCTGCCAGGCCCCACCCATGCTGGCTGTGATTGTTTGGGCTTTGTTGATTGCGCACATACCATTGTCATCCTGTCTGAATTTTATAACCACTGTTGGATGGCAGACAGGTTGGTGCATACATTTAACCTTACTATGTTCACATGGCTCGGGCTAGTGAGGAACATGGGAACCGTGCCATTGAGCTGAGAGCGGTGGCTTGCACAAATAGTCCCAGCTACTGGCGAGCCCGAGGCTAGAAAATCACTTGAGCCTTGGATCTGAAGCCAGTAAAGGCAACACATACCAGCCTAGAAGAAAAACAATAGTCCTGCCTTCTAAATACACCAGATCCTGTATTCTTTTATGGTGTGATATATAAAACAAATACAGGTCATGAATGTCGTGCTGGGGGAGAGGTGGAGGGAGGCTGAGATGACTCAGTTGACAAAGTACTCACAACACAAGAGGACCTGAGTTCAGTGCCCACAAACAACACAGAAACCGTGTGGTTACGATTCTAGCACTGGTAAGGGCACAGACAGACAGATTCCTGGGGCTAACTTGTCAGCCAGCTTAGGGTCTTAGAGCAAGCCCCAGGCCAATGAGAGTCCTTGTCTCAAAACAAACAGGAACCAAAATACCAGCAAAGAAGATGGCTCCTGTGGAACACCTGGATTTGGCCTCTGGCCTCTATAGTTACAGAGATTCATATACACATGGACATGTACTTACACACAAACATACATGCAAAAGCCCTAGTAAAGATTTGTTCATTAGGTAAGTAAGAGTTTGAAGTCCTTGATACATTTACAAAAGGCCTGCCCCTCAAAACAGTTGGGCCTGAACTGATTTCACCAAAGCCCTTTTGTGTGTAATTTCTTCAAAGATGAGCTCTGAGCGCAGGATTTTCGGGTTTAGTCAGTGTCCTAAACAACCTTTCAGGAAGGCTGTCAACACCATCAACATTGCGTGTGATGAGGCCTTGCGCCTGCCCTCAGTGGCGTGGCCTGTGTGTTTCCGCAGCTGTGTGATCTGCTGAGGAAACTTGCACCTGTGCTCCCTAAGGCCCACACCTGGCTTCTTGGAGGCTGCACAAGGAGACCTTGGTTCTGGCTGGGACAAGAGGGAAGCAGGTGAGGCTGCTACTAAATAGACCCATGATTGTCCCAGTGATGTGGCCATTGTGCTGACTCCAGCCTGTCTACCCCTTTATTATAGCCTGTCTCAATTGTTTACATCTAGAGAAATATTACTCACCTCTATCCATCCATGTATGTTGCTAATACAAGAATAACCACACTCTAACAGGTACCTTTTTTTTTTTAAACATAGCAATATATCATGTACGCATTTCCCTATCAGCATCTGACAGATTTGCCTTCATCTTTTTCCTCTTCATGGGCTCCATTACACGATGTCCAAGATTAACTAGTTCTCAGTGAAGAACTCTTTGTTTCCAGCTTCTTGCAGTTCTTGCTGTGAGAACAGCATTGTTGGAAATACCTTTGTCCATAAAGCCTCCTTTCAATCATTAATTTTTTGCACTATTTCTTATTTAAACCTTTATAAAAATGAAGAAAGCATGGTGTGTGTGAAGGAGGGGAGGCTATCTCCAGGTTCAACAGGCTTATCTGGGCTTGTGGATTTTCAAATAGCTCTAAGATACCCACCCTTTATTTGTGTGGGTCTTGATATGTATTTTCCAAGGTAGGAACAGTTTTATTTTTTCTTTTTCTTTTTCTTTTTTTGCATCATCATGGTCTGCTGCCTGCACCAGTACCAGCCACTGCTCATATTCTGAATTGTTTACTCCAGTTTGAAATTGGGGTCTTGTTAAGTTGGTAGAGTATGAGGGGACACCACTGACTGTTTTGGGCTGCTCAAGTCCCAAGTGTGTCATGACAGGTTAGGACTCAAGAGACTAAGCCTCAGGAGGTCTGTTGCTATCGAAGGAATGCATCAGGGCTGCAAAGCCTGTCAGTGGGCTCATGCTGCTGAAAGCACTGTGCCTCGCAGATGCCATGCAGTGGGAGCAGGAACCTGAGACACCCTGGATGTCCTGAGAAGGAATTTGGAAAGCCAAGGGCAGTATCTTATGGGGGTAGCCTCCTCAAGTCCCACGTAGATGCCTCTGCACTCTACAGTGGGAGGCTGGCATTGAGGATGGTTCCGTGCTGCTTGCTACTGGGATGACTTGGTGGCTGTCTTGGTGCCACTCTGTGGCTCTGACTCATCTACTCATTCCGTGTGCCTGGTCGGAGGAGTGCTACAAGTGATGGAGAGATGCTCTAGGGGATTAAGTCAGTTTACCCTCTTGAGAGAGTCACTCCATCAGCTGGGACAAGCCTGTCTGCTTTCCCAGCAGAGCAGTATGTACAAGAAAGCAGAGAATCTGTTACTCCACTGCAAACAAAAATACAAAATGACCAGGGATACACTTGATAAATATATAATACTCATGTGACAAAAATCTAATATGCTCCAGAGGAAACAAAATAAAACCGAAATAAATCAAAGTGATGCTGGGCTGTTTGTGAATAGGAAAATGCAGCATGGTGAAAAATGCCCACTCTCTCTCAGTTGAGCTGTAGTTTGAATACGATTCAATAAAATGTCAACAGTTTTAAGGGGACAAGGGGGAATTTAATTAGCTAATTTTAAAAAACATGATTTTGAAAAAAAAAAATGAGTAAGGTTTAGAAAATAAATAGGGAGCCAGAAAATTCAGGGAATAGACCCAAAACATACTTATGAAACTGACATGGCAAAAGATAGTACAACACAAATATTTTATTAGTCACGAACAGATATATTCATTAATGACAAAAGCCACCTCTCAAATCAATGAGGAAAAATAAATAAACTTCAGGGAGATTGAATTCACAATGTATACTTTGCAAGGTAAATCTGAAATGTATTTAGGACTTACATGCAAAACCATGACATACTATAAAGCATTAACAGAAAAGGTGTTGCGTGTTTCAGGGTCTTTCTGCTACAATAACATAAGAAACCTCTTCATGAAAACTCGGCTTTTGTGAAGTGCAAAAGGCAAGAAATGAGTTGACGAAAGACACTTGCAACCTGTATCATCAATAACTACATTCCCTAGTGTAAAATAGTTCCTGTGGACCAGAAGGAAAATTGATCAGTAATCTAATAAAAACTGGGCAGAGTACCCACAGCTCATATGCACGATTTAAATATGAAATGTTTAATAAGAGAAACTACAAATTACGTAGGAACTGTAGATTGCCCTCACACAGGGAGGGTCCTCCTTTCCCTTAATTTTGAGATTATGCAGGGCATGGGAGAAGAAATGTTTCCATAGAGAAGTAAATCTGTACTCCTTTATGAAAGAAGCCTGGCAGTATCTGAACATGTTATAGGCACTTTCATGCCTTTCTTGTTTATTTTGAGGTATGGTTTCACTATGTACCCCATACTGGCCTTAACTTCACCAACCCCATGCCTCAGCTTCCAGAGTGCAGAGATTACAGGCATGCACCTTGAAGACGAGCTTTAAAAAACATGTTTTCTAAATGTGTTGTATGTACACACGTGCAAAATCATATAGGCTTGATATTTTCATTAAAGCCATATAAAAATAAACATATTTTTAATAGTCAGTGATATAACACATACATAGATCTGCAAGAAATAGACCAGGACGTGCTCTGTGCATCCAGGAGGCTGAGGCAGAAGGATCACTGAGTGTTTGAGGCAGAGGGCTTGCATGTAGACCTTCCACTGCAAACAAATTTTGGACCTTGTCTTCCCTGTTCATATTAATAAACAGGGGCTGGAGAGGAGGCTCAGTGATTTTGACGGCTTTCTGCCTGTATGTCTGTTATTGGTGCCTTTAGATGAGGTGGGAGAAAACAGCTGCTTATAAGGTCTGTGGTGGGCTTGTCTGGGAAGATGTGACCCAGAAGGCCCTCACCTGGACAAAGGAAGAAGGATGTAGTTTAGAGGACCATGGTGACAGGTCTCTGATTAGTCTCTTTCCTCCCCATTCCTAGCGGAGCTGCCGAGGTCCTCAGCCGTGAGGTTAGCCTCTCTGCGGGACCTGCCTGCCCAGCTCCTGGAGCTGTACCAGCAAGGCTTCTCGCTGGCCGTCCTGCACCCTTTTGTGCAGCCAACACACCGGCAAGAGAAGACACTCCTCGAGCACATCTTCAGGGCCATCCTGGTCAAGAAAACCAACAGGTAAGGACTGTTAGCATCACGTCCTTAGCATCACATCTTATGGAGACTAAGACATCGGCATGTGGAGGTGGAAGGGAGGATGGGATGGATTTGTGTGTTCATAGGCCTTTCTCTAATTTATGGGTGAGATTCAGCTAGAACAATGTGTCCTTTGCAGAAGTATGCTTCCAGAATCAGGCAGCAAGTAGAAATATAATAAAACCATTAATCTGAAAAGTCACGGTTGGAAACACATTTTATTAAAGGCTTTATACATGCTCAGTGTTTCCTTCCGAAGTTTAGAAATACTTCAAAAGTCTGAGTCCACCAGAAGGTCTGTCTCTTGCCACCTTCTCACCCCCGCCTCCTGTCTCTCACCTTCCATCTTCTACCCACACCCAATATGGGTATTGTGCTGGTTTTGATTTTAATTTGTAAGATGGTTTGAGGGTGTTTTTCAGTCTGGATTGTCCAACTGAGTGTTACTTTGATAGTTTGAATTATGCCACAGTGGGAAAAGAGGTGGGCTTGGGTCTTGTTTTGTTTTGTTTTTTCAAAAAGAGCAATACTCATTTTACATGTTTAAAAAACGATGAAAGCAGACAATCCCATAGGTAGAACTGCATTTGCAATAATAAAATTTAAGCTCAGTGCGGTGGTGGACACTCGAGGTCTCGTAAGGCGGAAACAGAAAGATCAGGAATTCAAGGTCTAGCCTCAGCTACACAGTGAGTGCAGGGCTAGTCAATGTTCCATGAGACTCCAGCTTAGTGAGTATTTAAGTAAATAAATTGAAGTTTGAGAAAGGAAATTGAATTTCCCCTCTGGCCAACTGTCTTGGAAGGGATGGGTAACAATACTTGCGTTTTAAAGGAAAGGGCAGCAGGCCATATTCGTCTTTGTAAAAGTCTTTGCAGTACACATCACATTGACCTAGTATATTCACAAGGGACTCCTGGGGCATGAGGTGACATGCCAAGATAGACTTCTCTTTATTTCACAACGGCTTATCAGGCTCTGCTCTCTGAGGTGATGCATGTTTTTGTGACAGTCATTGTGTTGTTTGTGTAATAACACTTTGCAGAGTCTGCTTTTTACGCTTACTGGCTTCTTTTTGTCCATCGGCTGTGGATCAATATCTGATTTAATCACATGAGGAAATTATTCTAGGGTCCATGGTAGTCTTAATTCACACAGACACACGGGTATGCATATAATGACAAGAGCTTATGTTAACTGAGCATGCATTGAGTGTCACATGTGGCAACTATAATTTTATCTGTATAGTTGGCTCATGAAATGGGAATCCTGACTTGACCTTAATTTTGCAGGGTAAAGACTCAAAACACTATGCAGTATGACCAAAGTTCAAATTGAGAGTCTTTATTATGCTACCAGCAACTGCCTAGAGAGAAACTCTTCTCACAGAGCAGCCTCAAATGCATTTTACAGGGAGCCTTTAAAGACAAAGAAAGAAAACAAAAAACAAAACAAAACAAAAAAAAACCAACAAAAAAACAAACAAACAAAAAAAAAACAACCAAAAAACTACATCCTCGGCAGTTGCAGGGGAAAGTAAGCAAGCAAGCAGTTTAACAGAAGCAAAAAACATGCAGTTAGCTGGGGCATTTCAACCCCCCAGTTTCTAGAATAAGATTGGTTACTTTCATAGCAGGGTTAGAAGGAAGAGGGCTCAGTTTCAGTTAAATCAAAGATGGCTCCAGCAGAAACAAGATGGAGGAAACTTTGCCCTGTTATACTAGGAAATCAACTCCCATGCCTCTAGATTATCTTAGAGGAGGAAATGCTTTTTATCCCCCACCATCCTCCCTTTCAGAGAAAACAATTTTGAAAGGAAATAAAACAAAACAGCCTCACTATATGGTACATGTGTTGGACAAGGCACAGTCCAAGGTTCCAGTGAAGCTGTTTATTAGTTGTCTTGGTGTTTAGAGACCAGCCCCCTGGCATCAGATGGCAGGGGTATCTTCTGTAGGAGGTGATGCTAACACAGGACCTGGATGAAGAACATGTATTACAAATGCACTGACACAAATATGAAGATAATGTCTCTTCCTCCCCCTGCACCAGCTCAAACTAATTTCTTTGTGGATCTCCTGGAGGTGTCATTAAAGAGTATTGTGCTTCTGTGGGTTGGCAGTGAGGCCCGAGATGCTGCATCTCCAGTGTGGTCCCCAGTGATGCTGACACCATGCTGCCCCATGGATCACCCTTCAGGTAGTAAGGGTGGAGAGGACCTGACTTTTCCTTATATATCACCCACAGAGTTAGTGTTTACTGCTCTTTTCTCTGGGACAGCTTTAGGCACAGAGCAAAGTAAAGAAGGGCCCAAGGCTCCTAGTTGGAGGCTGCATGTGATCCCTGGAAGTGATATAGTGTCAGGAAGCATGAGTGTAATTTTCCAAGCCTCTCATTGTATAATGGCACAGTGAGAGGTTTATAACAGATTGTTTGCAAGGCACGTTCAGTCACATGATCAGATGATCTGGGTGTGGATGCCACTGTTTAAGAATAAAAACCCAACCCCATTTTGTCCCGTAGGAACCAGCCAGGAGAGCTGGGGTTTAGACAGGGAAGAAGAAAATAAAGTTCTCAAGATCAAGACAGTGGTGTGTGGAGGGATTTTCTAGAGGAGAGGATGGTAGCCTCTTTGGATAGGACGGTTGGTTCCCTGCCCCAGGACACCCACGGCACTGTCTCATTGGCTCTAATGAGCTCCATCTCCTGGTACAGAGAAACAACCCTTTTCACTCTCTGATGAGTTTTTGGAACTCATTTCAAAGAAATAAGTTCATTTTCAAAGAAAGCTGCAAAAATCTGATGATGTACCAGGTGAAATAAAGGAAACCTGGCCAGTGGATCGTCCAGTTTCCATCCTGAATGGTGTTGGGCAGGAGGAGGCCGTCTGTTGAAGCAGGGCCACTATAAAGGTGTTTCCCCTCCCCCTCCCTGGCCAATTCTATAACTGTGTTTCGCCCCAGAAACCCCTCATTACCACCATACAACTGCAAGCAGCCAAATAAAAAGGCCTCAAAGCTCTGTTCTGCAGATAGTTGAAGAAATAAAAACAGACGGAAGCTTACATGATTAATTTTTAACATGAACAGATAAAGCAACACTTTTAGCAAAGACTGCCAACGTCTGACAGCCGTAAATACTGTTAAGTAAAATTACTTAGCTCTGGAAAAGGGAGTGAGTGCCTAGTTAATATTTCCCAAGTAGGGCACATTGAAGGAGATTTAGCAAAACTGTCTATCTGCTTCTGTTTGTACAAATGAATTGTACTGGCAAGAACCACCACAGAATGGCCATTTAAGCTTGGTAAAACTGAAGAATTTCAAAGGCGAACACAAAGGTTTTGGCAAATAACTGGATTTTGAGATATGCAGCGATATCAAGAAAAAAAGAACAGCTTGATTCAAGCTTATATCCATCCACTCACTCACCCATCCATCTGCAAATACCTACCAAGGTTGTGAGGATATCATAGGTGTTGGGTTTTTTTCCCTAGACTGCCATGATAAACAGATACCACAAATAAAGTAAGTCACATTTTTTTTCTTTCCCAGTTCATATAACAGCTATCTATACACTACACTATATTTTTACTAAGGATATAGCAGCATGTTTTTTTTTTAAATGCACACACCTCAATTTAAAAAGTAGTTTATTGCTAAAAGATGCTAATGCTTATCTAAACTGTTAGGAAAATAATGTCAGTAGATGGGCTCAGCACAGTTGCCACAAACCTCTGGGTTTGTAAAACAGGTTACCCGCAAAGCATGATAAAATGAGGGGTCCCGGGGTCCCCTCATTTTAAAAACATTTTTCCAGGAGCTGTACCGGGAGGGAAGGTAGAGGGCTCAGTTGGGCATAGCACTTGCTTCCCAGGCACCAACAGTCTGGTTAAGAGAATTCTCATGACAGGTTTGTCATGTCACCCTCCTACAGAAAGAGAAACCACATTTTGACCTGGGCCTTATTTCCTTAGATATTTGTAATTGTCTGTTATTTTGTATGCACGTCAGTGTATATGCACACATGGGGGTCAGAAGGCAGTTTGTGGGCCCCCGGGCTCAGTCTCAGGTTATCAGGTTTGGCTGCCTCTGCCTGCTCACCCTCTGGCTGGACCTTCAGCCTCACTTGGAATACTGAGCCTGAGGTGGGGAGAATGTATTTATGTCTCTTAAGGAAATGTGCTCTAGTGTTCTTTGGGTAATTGGAGAACATCTTGATAAACTAAAATCATTACTGAGTCCTCCCAAAGGCAGTACTCAGCAAAGTGACAATGCCCCTGAACTCTACCATTTCAAAGAGTTCGCTTAAATCTACAAAAACAATGTCAGATCTTTTCCTTTGAAAATCATGTTAACTGCCATTCCGTTTCAAGATGGTGGGCCAAACTGCATATCTTTTCAATTGATCTTGAGCTGAGTGTTTTGAATTCAGTCAAAGTTAGTTACCTGGAAAAGTGACTCCAGCATGAAGAAGCTGAACATGTAATCTTGAATCAGTGGAAACACTTTTTGCCTCCCTTCCTTAGTTCTTTCTTAAGACCACTTAGTGTTTTTTTTTTTAAAAAAAAAACACACACACACACACACACAATATAGTTATATTTTGTCTGAATTCTAAGTGTGCACAAGTTACCCTTATTTTTTTTTCCTTAGAATGAATGCCAAAAATCTTAAAACCTCAAAGCTTAGAGAAGTTAGTTATTAAAATGTCAGGCCTGGTTTTTTATGGGTGTGGATTTAATTCTAGGTGGTTTTAAATGGAGAAATGTCCTAAGATGTCCCAGCTCCCAGGCGCTGTATTGTTGTTCCAGGCAGAGCTAGATTTGAGCGATTTCATCGTATTGATAGGATTTTCATTACCCATTGGGGGCAGAAGGTACTTGGATCCAGGTTTCCCAGCGTCATGCCTAGCATGGCACAGGGCCTGGGCATCTGGTAGGTAGGTGCCTTTTGGCCTAGGGAATGACACTCACAGAATTGCTA